AGTGGGAAGAATGTCTCTTTCTTTGGGGGTCAGTGGGAAGAATGCTCCTTACATTGGAGGTCAGTGGGAAGAATGTCCCTTACATTGGAGGTCACTGGGAAGAATGTCCCTTACATTGGTGGTCAGTGGGAAGAATGTCCCTTACATTGGTGATCAGTGGGAAGAATGTCCCTTACATCGGTGATCAGTGGAAGAATGTCCCTTTCATTTGGGGTCAGTGGGAAGAATGTCTCTTTCATTGGGGGTCAGTGGGAAGAATGCTCCTTACATTGGAGGTCAGTGGGAAGAATGTCCCTTACATTGGTGGTCAGTGGGAAGAATGTCCCTTACATTGGGGGTCAGTGGGAAGAATGTCCCTTACATTGGGGGTCAGTGGGAAGAATGTCCCTTACATTGGTGGTCAGTGGGAAGAATGTCCCTTACATTGGGGGTCAGTGGGAAGAATGTCCCTTACATTGGGGGTCAGTGGGAAGATTGTCCCTTACATTGGCGATCAGTGGGAAGATTGTCCCTTACATTGGCGGCCGGTGGGAAGAATGTCCCTTACATTGGTGATCAGTGGGAAGAATGTCCCTTACATTGGGGATCAGTGGGAAGAATGTCCCTTACATTAGAGGTCAGTGGGAAGAATGTCCCTTACATTGGGGGTCAGTGGGAAGAATGTCCCTTACATTGGTGGTTGGTGGGAAGAATTTCCCTTACATTGGTGGTCGGTAGGAAAAACGTCCCTTACATTGGTGGTCGGTGGAAGAACGTCCCTTACATTGGGGGTCGGTGGGAAGAACGTCCCTTACATTGGGGATCGGTGGGAAGAACACTCCTTACATTGGGGGTCGGTGGGAAGGATTCCCCTTACATTGGGAGTCAGTGGGAAGAATGTCCCTTACATTGGTGATCAGTGGGAAGAATGTTCATTACATTGGGGGTCAGTGGGAAGAATGTCCCTTACATTGGGGTCAGTGGGAAGAATGTCCCTTACATCGGTGATCATTGGGAAGAATGTCCCTTACATCGGTGGTCGGTGGGAAGACTGTCCCTTACATTGGGGGTCAGTGGGAAGAATGTCCCTTACATTGGGGTTCAGTGGGAAGAATGTCCATTACATTGGGGGTCAGTGGGAAGAATATCCCTTACATTGGTGATCAGTGGGAAGAATGTCCCTTACATGGGGGGTCAGTGGGAAGAATGTACCTTACATTGGGGGTCAGTGGGAAGAATGTTCCTTACATTGGGGGTCGGTGGGAAGAATGTCCCTTACATTGGGGGTCAGTGGGAAGGATGTACCTTACATTGGGGGTCGGTGGGAAGAATGTCCCTTACATTGGAGGTCGGTGGGAACAATGTCCCTTACATCGGTGGTCGGTGGGAAGAATGTCCCTTACATTAGGGGTCAGTGGGAAGAATGTCCCTTACATTGGGGGTCAGTGGGAAGAATGTCCCTTACATCGGTGATCAGTGGGAAGAATGTCCCTTTCATTGGGGGTCAGTGGGAAGAATGTCTCTTTCATTGGGGGTCAGTGGGAAGAATGCTCCTTACATTGGAGGTCAGTGGGAAGAATGTCCCTTACATTGGTGGTCAGTGGGAAGAATGTCCCTTACATTGGGGATCAGTGGGAAGAATGTCCCTTACATTGGTGATCAGTGGGAAGAATGTCCCTTACATTGGTGGTCAGTGGGAAGAATGTCCCTTACATTAGGGGTCAGTGGGAAGAATGTCCCTTACATTGGGGGTCAGTGGGAAGATTGTCCCTTACATTGGTGATCAGTGGGAAGAATTGTCCCTTACATTGGTGATCAGTGGGAAGATTGTCCCTTACATTGGTGGCCGGTGGGAAGAATGTTCCTTACATGGAGGTCAATGGGAAGAATGTCCCTTACATTGGGGATCAGTGGGAAGAATGTCCCTTACATTGGTGATCAGTGGGAAGAATGTCCCTTACATTAGGGGTCAGTGGGAAGAATGTCCCTTACATGGTGATCAGTGGGAAGAATGTCCCTTACATTGGAGGTCAGTGAGAAGAATGTCCCTTACTTTGGGGGGTCAGTGGGAAGAATGTCCCTTACATTGGGGGTCAGTGGGAAGAATGTCCCTTACATGGTGGTCAGTGGGAAGAATGTCCCTTACATTGGGGGTCAGTGGGAAGAATGTCCCTTACATGGTGGTTAGTGGGAAGAATGTCCCTTACATTGGTGGTCAGTGGGAAGAATGTCCCTTACATTGGGGGTCAGTGGGAAGAATGTCCCTTACATTGGGGGTCAGTGGGAAGATTGTCCCTTACATTGGCGATCAGTGGGAAGATTGTCCCTTACATTGGCGGCCGGTGGGAAGAATGTCCCTTACATTGGGGATCAGTGGGAAGAATGTCCCTTACATTAGAGGTCAGTGGGAAGAATGTCCCTTACATTGGGGGTCAGTGGGAAGAATGTCCCTTACATTGGTGGTCAGTGGGAAGAATGTCCCTTACATTGGTGGTTGGTGGGAAGAATTTCCCTTACATTGGTGGTCGGTAGGAAGAACGTCCCTTACATTGGTGGTCGGTGGGAAGAACGTCCCTTACATTGGGGGTCGGTGGGAAGAACGTCCCTTACATTGGGGATCGGTGGGAAGAAACACTCCTTACATTGGGGGTCGGTGGGAAGGATCCCCCCTTACATTGGGAGTCAGTGGGAAGAATGTCCCTTACATGGTGATCAGTGGGAAGAATGTCCCTTACATTGGAGGTCAGTGAGAAGAATGTCCCTTACTTTGGGGGTCAGTGGGAAGAATGTCCCTTACATTGGGGGTCAGTGGGAAGAATGTCCCTTACATGGTGGTCAGTGGGAAGAATGTCCCTTACATTGGGGGTCAGTGGGAAGAATGTCCCTTACATGGTGGTTAGTGGGAAGAATGTCCCTTACATTGGTGGTCAGTGGGAGGACTGTCCCTTACATTGGGGATCAGTGGGAAGAATGTCCCTTACATTGGAGGTCAGTGGGAAGAATGTCCCTTACATTGGTGGTCAGTGGGAAGACTGTCCCTACATTACATGGGGGTCCCTTCATGGGGGTCAGTGGGAAGAATGTCCCTTACATTGGGGGTCAGTGGGAAGAATGCCCCTTACATTGGGGGTCAGTGGGAAGAATGTCCCTTACATTGGGGGTCAGTGGGAAGAATGTCCCTTACATGGTGGTCAGTGGGAAGAATGTCCCTTACATGGTGGTCAGTGGGAAGAATGTCCCTTACATTGGTGGTCGCCGGCAGGAGGAAGGAGGTCCTGATTAGTCTATAAACAAATAAATTGATAACATCAGATGATAATGTTGATAAAGTACATACACAAATGTTTAAAAGTTTGCAATTGGTAGGAAAGACGTTAGTGTATTCAGTGATATTATTTATCTGAGTAGTATCAGACTCTTCTAACTTATATATTGAAGGCTGAATGATGTACAGAGTGTGAGGAAACAGAGATTGGAGGGCAAAGTCAAGAAAAACCATATAGGCTGCAGTTCTTATATTCGCCTTTAGGTAGTGATCTCACTTATTATGAGTGAAATCCACAGACAGGAGGTGATGTCAGGTATGGAAAAGATGTTCCTGGTGAGAGGTCAAATGGCAGGAAGTAGAACAAAGACATTGCTGGAACTGGCAGCAGAGGAGGTGATAACATCTTATTTTATATTTACACCCAGTAACCCCCGTCATGCCTGTCCTCTTCCTCCATAGTCACCGTGATGTCTTTTATCTCCAACAGATGATTTATCTCTGTATATATATAATGAATATGTAGAGCCATTTATCCAACCGTCCATCCAGAGCCTCTGGTTTATAGACTGGATACGTCCTAAATATAGAACCATTTATCCAACCGTCCATCCAGAGCCTCTGGTTTATAGACCGGATACGTCCTAAATATAGAACCATTTATCCAACCGTCCATCCGGTTTATAGACCTCCTAAATGGAACCATTTATCCAACCGCCCATCCGGAGCCTCTGGATACGATACATCCTAAATATAGAACCATTTATCCAACCGCCCATCCAGAGCCTCTGGTTTATAGACCGGATACGTCCTAAATATAGAACCATTTATCCAACCGTCCATCCAGAGCCTCTGGTTTATAGACTGGATACGTCCTAAATATAGAACCATTTATCCAACCGTCCATCCAGAGCCTCTGGTTTATAGACCGGATACGTCCTAAATATAGAACCATTTATCCAACCGTCCATCCGGAGCCTCTGGTTTATAGACTGGATACGTCCTAAATATAGAACCATTTATCCAACCGCCCATCCGGAGCCTCTGGTTTATAGACCGGATACATCCTAAATATAGAACCATTTATCCAACCGTCCATCCAGAGCCTCTGGTTTATAGACCGGATACGTCCTAAATATAGAACCATTTATCCAACCGTCCGTCCAGAGCCTCACAGGAAATTCCACTCTCTTCTTGTTGTCTTGCACAGGTCACATGGACAGTTAGGGGAAATCTCCCCAACAAGGAGACAGGCAGAAAAAAACCCCAATAGACGTTCTAACCCTTCAGTGAGACAGATGAATGCGGCCTGCAAAATGGAACAATAAGCCATTTGAGGTGTAAGAAGACTGGCCTTACTCATCCCAGTAGAGATCATCATCAGGTTATTATCTACAGAGAGATAGGCCCACTATAGATCAAATGACCACCATAATGAGCATAGAGAAGAAGATACTGGACCTCACCTTGGAGATCATCTACATGCTGACTGGAGAGGTGAGGAGGATTCTGGGATCATTATACAACCATCTTTCTATTTATGAAAGAAAGATTTGACTGTACCAGATGAAGGTGATAGTTAGGATGACGTGACCTGATATGGGGGAGATTCTGGAGATATTACATCATGAACTTAGTAATGGTGCACATTTCTCATGACGTCTCTTGATAGGGTTACACAGTTGTGAAGAAGACATCTGGGGGCCATCAGGTTGGGAGCCATAGACACATCACTGTCCTGCCTTCTGAGAGAAACAGTGATGAGAAGATACTGGAAGTCACCAAGAAGATGATGGAGCTGCTGACAGGAGAGGTGAGCGGTGCCAGGAATTCTGGGACATTCTCCAGTAACAGACAAGGAATGTGTCTGGATGGTGACTGTATCATTGTGTGTGTCAGGTTCCTATAAGGTGTCAGGATGTCACTGTCTATTTCCATCCATGGAGGAGTGGGAGTATTTAGAAGGACACAAGGACCTCTACAAGGACGTCATGATGGACAATCAGCCGCCATTCAGTTACGTAAAAAAAGAAAACAATACAATTAGCTTGGAGGAGAGGCTATTGGACCTCACCCTGGAGATCATCTACCTGCTGACCGGAGAGGTGAGGAGGATTCTGGGAGGTCACATGACATCACTGTTATCTCTTATAAAAAAATCGTTATATTCATGATATTATATGTGTTTCTGTATAATTCAGGACAGTGTGATAGTTAAGAAGACATCTGTTGAGAATAATACAAATAACTACTTGATCACAAAACTGAAAGAACGACAGAACCCCATAAATGTTCCTTCACTTCCCTTGCAAACTCTTAAACGAAACACCAAGAAGATTCTAGAAGTCACCCAGAAGATAATGGAGCTGCTGACAGGAGAGGTGAGCGGTGTCGGGAATTCTGGGACATTCTCCAGTAACAGACAAGGGATGTGTCTGGATGGTGACTGTATCATTGTGTGTGTCAGGTTCCTATAAGGTGTCAGGATGTCACTGTCTATTTCTCCATGGAGGAGTGGGAGTATTTAGAAGGACACAAGGACCTCTACAAGGACGTCATGATGGACAATCAGCCGCCCCTCACATCACCGGGTAAGAGGAGACTTTATTGTAAAGGAGAGAGCAGTACGGAGGGTCCACCTAGATCCTCCATCATCTGATAAACACATAGAAACAATGGATTCAGTCAGTGTGTGTGTTTCCTACAGATGGATCCAGTCATGGGAACCCACCAGAGAGATGTCCCCGTCCTCTGTATTCCTGGGATTCCACACAGGGAGATCACACCATCCCTCACCATCATCAGGTAGATGGATCCAGTAATGGAAACCCACCAGAGAGATGTCCCTGTCCTCTGTATTCCTGGGATTCCACACCAGAAGGTCACACCATCCCCCACCATCATCAGGTAGATGGATCCAGTAATGGGAACCCACCAGAGAGATGTCCCCGTCCTCTGTATTCCCGGGATTCCACACGAAAAGATCACAACTATGCAAAAAATTGTCGGGTAGAAACCTTATTTAAAATTCATATCATTTGTCCGGTATCTACATTTTTTCAATTCATACTGTTTTTTTTCTTTGTATTTTCAGAATAAACAATTAAATTATTGTGAAGTCATAATTAAAGAAGAGATCAAACAGAAGGATGAAGAAACTGGAATTGTGCAGGACGTGGATTATTTGAAAGGACACAAGGACCTCTACAAGGATGTCATGATGGACAATCAGCCGCCCCTCATATCACCGGGTAAGAGGAGACTATTGTAAAGGAGAGAGCAGTACAGAGGCTCCACCTGGGTCCACGTTACATGCAGACACTGTTAACATGTTTAGATTGCTTCTGTTACTACACAGTATGTTGTCTGACCCAGGGATGGACTGACAACTTATGGGGCCCCCGGGCAATAGGGGATCATGGAGCCCCTGCATCCTCACCCAAACTCAAGCCACACCCAAAAAAGCCTATGAAAGGTACTAGGGGCATCTCATGGGGCCCCCTACTGACCCTGGGCCCTCGGGCACTGCACAAGTGCCCAAATGGTCAGTCCACCCCTGGTCTGACCAGAAGTTTAGGAAAATTGCTGTTCCTCCCTTCCTCAGATTGGATGAAGGAGCCATCTTGTTTTTCATTGGTTAATCCTCATGGGGTTAGGTAATCTAGCTGGCCTAGTGTAGCTTCACCTGTAGTGGCCCCTCGTCTCTTAGGACAAGCAGGTCTATCGGCAGTTGATTGCCGAAGAACTCATACACCGTGCTATGTCCACTATCCAGGAACCATAGGAGGCTGAGCAATAGGTGAACAAAGAGTACCTGTAGTACCATGGGTACAAATATCCACAGGAACAGGCGCCTCAGCAGGATAAGTATGTGTTGGAGTGTGCAAACAGGTGAGTACAGGCAGATATATGGTAAGCAAATGGGCCAAAGGTAGGTCCAGGCAGCGGCGGGCAGAAACATGGTCCATAAGGAAAGGGTCAGTTCAGGCAGTTACTTGACTAGTATACAGGCAAAGGGTCAGTCTAGGCAGCAAACAGAAAAATGATTGGAAAAACAGGCAAAGGGTTAGTGTACGTGGCAGGCAGATATGTGGTCAGTATACAGTCATAGGGTCAGTCCAGGCGGCAAGCAAAAACATGGTCAGTAAGCAGACAAAGGGTCGGTACTCAGCAGATCAGCTTGTCAGGTACATGAGAAAACCTATAACGAGAATTGGGTGCAGGGTCAGTCAGGTTTAAATCAGATTAGGAATCTTCATTCCTCAATATAACGTCATGTTCCCAACAAATGAGGAGGAGATACTGGACACCATATGAAAGGTCCATCTCCATTCCTCAACATAACGTCATGTTCCCAACAAATGAGGAGGACATACTGGACACCATATGGAAGGTCCATCTCCATTCCTCAATATAACGTCATGTTCCCAACAAATGAGGAGGACATACTGGACACCATATGAAAGGGCCATCTCCATTCCTCAATATAACGTCATGTTCCCAACAAATGAGGAGGAGATACTGGACACCATATGAAAGGTCCATCTCCATTCCTCAATATAACGTCATGTTCCCTACAAATGAGGAGGAGATACTGGACACCATATGAAAGGTCCATCTCCATTCCTCAATATAACGTCATGTTCCCTACAAATGAGGAGGAGATACTGGACACCATATGAAAGGTCCATCTCCATTCCTCAATATAACGTCATGTTCCCAACAAATGAGGAGGAGATACTGGACACCATATGGAAGGTGAACACAATGACTTGCCCCGTTGGTTGTAGTTGGTATTACTGTATCTATCGCTGATTTTTGTTTCGTAAATGATTGTAAGAAGTGAATACTAGCGTCATTTATCAATATCTTGCTCTCCAACAGATGGACATTATGTCCGGAACAGCTCAGGAGGAGATCTTCCATCAGATCCTACTGCAGGATTTTCAGGATTTAAACCCATGACTCAATGCAGACTCCATGGGCCTTATCAAGTGGAAGCCTCCATTGACCCCTCTAATCCCGATGAATCTCCTGATCAATCATATACCGTCAAATCAGACGTTCATATTTGCAGGGCAGATACATCTTCCAATCCATCTAATTCCAATGAATCTTCTGTTAGCCAAAAGGAAATTCACACAGACCAGAGTTCGTTGTCATGTTTAGTGTGCGGGATATGCTTCAAGATGAAAACAGAGCTTCTTCTACATCTCAGATCTCACACCAGTGTAACGTTTGCATGTTCGGAGTGTGGGAAATCCTTCACCGACAAAGGAGCACTTGTTATACACCAGAAAACTCATACAGGCAAAAAAAGTCCTTTTACATGTTCAGAGTGCGGGAAATGTTTTAATGAGAAAAGCGAACTCTTCACACACCAGAGAACTCACAAGGGCGAGAACCCTTACTCGTGTACAGAGTGCGGGAAATGTTTTACTCGAAAAAGAAATCTCCGTATACACCAGAGAATTCACACAGGGGAGCGCCCTTTTTCATGTACAGAGTGCGGGAAATGTTTCAGCGATAAAGGAAGTCTTCTCAGACATCTAAGAATCCACACAGGTCAACGCCCCTACTCATGTCCAGAATGTGGGAAATACTTCAGTAAGAAAGGAGAACTCCTTAGTCATCACAGAATTCACACGGGTGAGCGTCCTTTTTCATGTTCAGAGTGCGGGAAATCTTTCACTCAGAAAGGAGGTCTTCAAAGACACCAAAGAAGTCACACAGGTGAACGTCCTTATTCATGTGTGCAGTGCGGGAGATCTTTCACTCAGAAAATAAATCTTCTTAGACACCAGAAAAGTCACACAGGCGAGCGTCCTTATTCATGTTCAGAGTGCGGGAAATGTTTCATTCGTAAAGGACAGCTTCTTATACACCAGAGAGTTCACACAGGTGAGCGTCCTTATTCGTGTTTGGAGTGTGGGAAATGTTTCACTCAGAATGGAGAGTTTATTAGGCACCAGCAAATTCACACAAAACGTCCCTTTTTATGTTCAGAGTGCGGGAAATCTTTCTCTGATGTAAGTTCACTTCTAGCACACCAGAAAATTCACGCGGGTGAGCATCCTTTCTCATGTTCAGAGTGCGGGAAATGTTATTCTCAGAAATCGGACCTTCTTGTCCACCAGAGAATTCACACAGGTGAGCGGCCTTATTCGTGCCCAGAGTGCGGAAAATGTTTCACTCAGAGAGGAAGCCTTCTTAGGCACCAGGGCAGTCACACTGGTGAGCGTCCTTTCTCATGCCCAGAGTGTGGAAAATACTTCACTAACAAAGAAGGCCTCATCAGACACCAAAGAAGTCACACAGGTGAACATCCTTTCTCATGTTCAGAGTGTGGGAAAAGTTTCAACCAAAAAGGAAACCTCCTTACACACCAGAGAAGTCACAAGGGCGAGCGTCCTTATTCATGTTCGGAGTGCGGGAAATGCTTCACTCGGAAAGAAAAACTTCTTTCACACCACAGAATCCACACGGGGGATAATCTTTTTCCCTGCCCTGCGTGCGGGAAAACATTCACGGAGAGGTTTGCGCTCCTTAGACACCAGAGAAGCCACACGGGTGAGCGCCCTTTCTCCTGTGCGGAGTGCGGGAAATGCTACACCCGTAAAGCAGAACTTCTCATACATCAGAGAAGTCACACAGGCGAGCGCCCTTTTTCATGCGCGGAGTGCGGGAGATGCTTCAGGCGCAAAAAAGAACTCATTAGGCACCAGAGAGTTCACACAGGCGAGTGTCCGTTTACTTGTCCAGAGTGCGGGAAATCATTCACTCAGAACGGGGACCTTCTTAGGCACCAGAAAATCCATACAGAGGAACGTCCGCATTCATGCTCAGAGTGCGGGAAATGTTTCTCCCAAAAAGGCGCGCTCGTTAAACACCAGAGGATTCACACGGGGGAGCGGCCTTTTTCCTGTTCGTTGTGCGGGAAATGTTTTACGAGCAAAGGAAATCTACTTCGACATCAGAGAACACATGCCTGCTGATGAGAGATTTGGGGGGGAGAT